AGTTCCTCGACACTAGCAGAGTGGGAGGTTTGTTGTTGGGGTGTAGGCGGTGGCTGCTGCTGATCTTGTTGAGTGTCGTCTCGTGAGTCGTCGTGGTAATATGGACCGGTGTTTTGAGCCTCAGTAGAAGGGGAAGGGTAGCTTTGCATCCGATCGCTGTCTTGATTTCGCTCCTCTGGCATCTGAGGGGATGGATAATTGTGGATTCGCTCATCCTGCATGCGCTCGTCTGGAAGGCTCTCGTCGGGCAAACGCTCGTGCTGCAGTCGGTCGTCTTCTATTCTCTCACCCTCGACTCTCTCATCTTGGATGCTCTCCTCTGGTATCCGGTTTTCGTGTATTCCTTCGTGTCCCCTGTCGCCTTCGAGTCTGTCCTCTTGGAGGCCCTGCATCGGCATTCTTTCCTCCTCGGCAGGGTCGCCTTCGCGCGCAGAGCTCATGATAGCCAATGTACCGTGATAAGTCGCGAAATATGAAGACGTATCGCCTTCGGCAGATAGCTGCGCGCAACAGCAGAGAAGAAGTACCCCGTGCAAGCTCTGTTGTATCGAGAAAGTCGATTTGCCTCCTGGTACAGGTGACACAGGCAGCTGGTGTGTCGGCGAAGGAAACAGTGATTTGACTGCGTAAAGCAACGAAACCCGCCGATAAAGTAAATTGGGCAACCCGACAGACGGAGGGCTTGGTGGGTTGTTGGTAGTGAAATTGTGTCAAGAATTGGTAGCGATGGCGGTTCGATTTCGGGTTCGCGCATACACAGAACGCGTCGCGATTCGGTTGCACGGCAAAGCGGCAAGTGAAGTCGAGAAGAGTTTAATTGACTGTGGGAAACTATGGCTTAGTACAGTTTCTTCTTCTCATTCTCCTCTTAATTGCTGTTACTTCTGAGCGGTGGCTGGACGACGAGATCCAAAGGCATGCCCTCTGAAGCTCCCCGATGTAGACTGACGCGATCGCGACAAGGTCCAGCTCAAGCTAGGCCAGTCGTAGAGCTCAGTTTTTGTTTGCCAATCATTGCACTCGCAAATCGCAACGTTGCAACAACGGTAGCTTCTGCAAATCCTCTTCCATCGCGCAACAGCATTTTGATTTCGGGAGCAAAAGCGTTGAGGAGTTTGGGGGGAGTGGTTAAGCGATTGATTCGGGCTGACTGACCTCTACTCTCTCTTCAAAAAATAATCCGACGCGGACTTTCGTGATGGATCTGCCAGAGAGCGATCTGGTGGACGGAATAGGAAGAACCAGGCTGCCGATGGAGGTTGAAAGGCGTTGATTGATCCGGAGACGCGCTGGAGTTTTGACCTTGGGGGCCTATCTCAATGGAAGGCTCAGTCAGCACAACCAACCCTAGGACAGGCTGGAAGAATTTTTTCCTGGGGGGCGTGCTGGAGGACCACACTGGTGCCAGACACTGGAGAGGTGACCCGCAGATCGCTGTGGTTATTATGTCAGCAGGGCAGTTCCTTGTAACCCGTTTTGCCCGTCAATATCACCGACGGAGCCTGGACCACCAGGAGCTTGTGTCTTCAACTGCTGGGAACATAAATGTGTATCTTACTCTCAATAAGCCTTCCATCTCGATAAAAAACTCTAACGGCCACGCAATGACATTGGGGGGATGATATAATACAGTGCCCTTTTACCATAGCGGCTTTCATATGTCATAACAATTCACTTTGCTTCCCGCCCCTGTGCCGTCACTTGCTCTTATTCCACTAAGAATCCTCCACCACCATCATCGTCTTCCATATCGTATTCTTCGGTAACATCGCTAGACGCCTCCTCGAATTCTTCGTCACCCAGCTCCGGCTCGAATCCACACTTATCCAGAGTCGGGTCTCTGTGTTCTCTACACCAAGACGCTGTTCCATCGTCGTCTATAACTGCACAATCTACCTCGCTTCCATCATCGTTGATAAGTTCGACTCTGGTATTGTCCACGGTGACCTGGCTCGCAATGTAAGTTCCGCCGGGTGCGCTGTCATTCACAATGAACCCGCCGCTACTTTCTGCCCTGTAACTGTCGATGGTGTCCCTCACATCCATAACGAAACTGGCCTTGCATCCGGCTGGGGTTCTGGCATCGTCATCTACCACAGCTCTGTCCTCAGCAAAGAATCCGCCACTCTCCTCTATGTCATGCTTGGCCACATCACCACTCGCATCGGCTGCGGCCAACTCAACCAATCGTTTGTCTTCTTTGACACGCTCCTCAAGGTCCACTCCTGCCCATACGCGCTCCCGAATGCGGAGAGCCACGAGGAACCGCCGCCATGTGTTAATGGCCACCAAGGCTCGTTTGCTATGTTCTGCTTGCGCATCCATATCATCGAAGCCTGCCATCACCGCACACACAGCCTCCTCGTACTCTTGAGCTACCACGATGCCGTTGAAGACTGCTGTACCGTGCTTGCCTTTGAACTGAAACCCTGACAGAGCGGGTGCGTAGTCAATGCCTAACGTGTAGGCGGCTCTCGCAGCAGTATCGAATTCGTCCGTGATATGAACGCCACCCTCCGGTACCATACTTGCAACATACAGGTCGATGTTACCAAACTTGTTCTTTGGCACTCGCCCGTCGACGACCGGAGGGGGCCGGTACACTTCTGTCTGTTCTTGTATGAAGATAGGCGTGCCGGTGGCCCTACGCTCGTCGCCTCCATAGCCGTCGTCGACATACTCTCCTGGTTTAGCGTTTGACCGTCGTGGCAAGAATTTGACAGGCAGCTGTAGCGGCTTCACTTCGCGCCCCATGCGATACCATTTATCCCTGCTTCGAGCTGTTCGTACGTCCTTACGTCGGTATACTTTCTCAAGCGGGGCTCTGTTGCCGGCTGCAACCGTTCCTGCGGGTTGTGCGTCGGGGATGAGAGCCTCGTTATGTCTTAGATGCCTTTCCAGCGCGAAGACTGGATGGTCCTTGAAGTCTGCTACGTTGCGAGGCATTGGCTCGCGTTCTTCGATCGCCGTCAGCTCGTTATCTTCAATCTGATCAAGGTCATTCGGCCAACTCCGTGCAAACGGCTTCAGCGCTCTCTGCCACCATCGGTCACCATTGTTGACAGCTGTCTCAATGCGCAACCGCCGCGTTTTAGCCGTGTAAGCCTTGGCGTATCGTTTCGTAACATCTCGTGCCGTGCCATCAGTATCAAACGCAACCACGTAAGCCATAGAGTTTTCCTTGTCGGTAGCTGGTGGCTCTAATGCTCTAGGTTTCCACATTGACTTCGTGACCAGCGGGTCTACGGGCTGCCATTTCTGATGGCCAACGTCCAGCACCTCAACCCAGTAGATTGGGAAGGGCGACTCACGGATCCTCTTCGGCGTCTTATTTGGCTGATGTGTAGTCGGTGGTGGGGTTGGTAGTAAAGGTAACTGGTAGGCTGTGGCATGAGGATGGCCTAGTCGTCGAAGCGGTGAAACCAGACTTGAGGCGGAAGATAATGACCCTTGTGCATTAGTGTTGTACCGTGGCAGCTGACCCCGTATGTTTTCCTCCTTGGTCGGCTTCTTTGGTAGCTTTGTTTCCTGAGTTCTTGGCAGATTCGGGCCGCCCTGGACAAACGGCAATGGTTGCAATGAGCAAACCAAGCGAGCACGGACTCCGACAGACCGTAGGAGGGCACAATACAGCTGAGCACCAACATCTCGAGACCCACAAAGCCTCTTAGCCGCGTGTCTAAAGTCTGAACGGTCCATGCATGAGTCCATGTTTGTCGGCGGTTCATACTGAGCATGGTTAAATCAGCCATTGGGTGAAGCGAAGAAGAAGAACTGTACACTCACATTGGCAAGATGCTCAGAATCTTCAGCCCATAGGGATCGTCGTAGCCCTCGCTCAGTAATTTGAAATTTTGACATAAATATAGTGCTAGCTTGTTGCAGGCCATTTTTTAGCGACTCTGTCTGCCCAAATTGAGGAAGACTGGGGCTCGGTTTCAGATGGTCGACAATCTTTTTTGTGAGAAGAGAACGGACGCTGTTTTGTACCTGCTCATCATCACACCAACGGTTCCTCAGGGCGCAGTGTAGTAGGAGACATAAAAGGTGTGTCCTGTGGATTGATACGCGGCGCTCCTTCTCCTCTTTCGTGATAGGCTTCCTTTTCTTGGTTCCCTTTCGAGCATCAGTCCCAGTGCTACTGTGCTCTGATAGATTCAATGTGAGTTTCTTGGGTTCTCCGATGGCTTCTGGGTTAGGCTGCACAGCCCCAAAATCGACACCCTTAGGCTCAGCTCCGTCCACATCCTCCTCATCATCATCATCATCATCTTCTTCTTCTTCTTCTTCTTCTTCTTCTTCGTCGTCGTCCGAGGTTTTGTAAATAATCTGGACCGTCGCTGGAGCGATAGTTACGTCTTCGAACTCTATACCTTCATCACCGTCATCATCGATTCCTTCCGCTACCGGAAGTTTTGTCATCGCGATAGGAGTCTTGGGCTTCTTCTCTCCGGGTCTTTTGAGCCTTTTTGCTGGCTGCTCGACCAAAGATGCACGTGCACCATCAGCATCTTCTGCGGCCTCAGCCAGCATTTCTTGATAGACATCCGGCACATCGGACTCAGCAGCTATAGACCGGGTAGCCCTGGTTCGTTTCCGACCAGCCATGGTGGCCCCTTCGCACAGACAGAAAGACCGACTGTTGACTGGAATGAGTATGAAATGATGGGGGTACTGAAAGAGGTGCGGTGTGATTACTCTGCATGGTTGTAGGTGAAGTTATCTTGGACTCGGCCTTGGATATGACCGCCTCACAAAGCTGACGAACACGAGCTGACACAGATTCACGTGACAGTCGGTAGTCACTAAGGCCCCACTCAACCGCTCAAACCGCCCTCGCCTCTTGGCTCGCTCCTTCGGCTACCTAACCTAGGTAGGTACAAATGCATTGCCCTCTAGGCATTTGTAAGGTGGACTATATTGTACTTGCAGTAATCAATATTTGTAGCTACAGGACGAGAAGTCTGAGATACAAGTTTTCATATTTTCGTACGTGATCGCTAGTTATTACGATAGAAGATTGATGTGTCCAGCGGTAGTCTTTCGCCCATCCATATAGCTCGTTGGGTGTGGTTGCGCAGCTCAGTAACATTGCGATCGAATTCCTCCTCGGTGGTATTAGGGTGAATGAGAACGGACAAGGGCCCTCTATAGATGGTCAACCACGGAATGAAGGCGCCAAACTGGGCCGGCGTGAAGATGTTAACTTCGAACATGGCTACAGGATGCGGACCAACTGGCCCTTCCCAAAATCGATAGATTCTCAGCTCAGGGACTAGATTTGTATCAGCAGATATCTCAGCCAGTCAAGGCAAGTCAAAAATGTTTACACTCCCGTCGGATGCGTTCCCAGAGATCTTTGGCGTGTTTGACTTGCTCCGGGTTGGACTGGAAATGGTAGATATGGATATCACTGCATCGTCATGTTAGTGACGAGGTTTCCTCCAAAAGCTGAGAAGTCACGAACAAGCCTCCTCTGCGTCCGTTGTCCAACGGCGCCGGGAAGACCTCGTAAGCCTTGCTCAGACAGTCCTGAGGCGGGTGTTTGAAGCTCTTGCCGTCCTCATTGAGCTCGTCCGGTAAAGGAGGGGCGTTTTCATACCCCTCGCGAGGAGAAACGTAGGTGTACAGCGGAGGATTGGAAGCCATTGCAAATGGTTGAGAGGAAACTTTAGTTAGTATTTAAAAAGCCCGAGGTTACAAGGAAACAGTGATTATGCTTGGATAGATAATGTATAGTACCGAGATGTCTTTGTTTGAGGAGTAGCTAAGTAGGAGCTGGTGGAACAAGTTCTGAATATGAGACGTAACCACTCAAAGTCAGTAGGTCAGAGGATTGCTCAACCTGTAGGTAAAGTAAGACATTTAACCCGATCCTGATGCCGAGTGCCCAAATTATCGCGCTGACGCAATATGTGAGACCCACCCATTTCTAAGCAACCGCGCGCGTATCTCTTTGAGTAAAGGAAGCACCGCGACGCATCCAAACTCCCACCATCTCTAGCGATCGGAATCCTACAATGAAACGATGGCGATCAAGGTCCAACGTCTGCACAGCCCTTATCATGCATGGCTTGTCCCAATCACAAACCCAGCACGCCAAGCGCTGGCTCAACGAAGGCAGAGCTTCACAATGTGTAAAAATTCGCTCCAAAGTCGCAAAAGAATGTCCAACATGCCACCAGAATTGTCATTATCTTACAATAAATACTACAGGGTCTTTTCCGGTGCCTCTCTTGCTAGAACGCCTTCAGTTAGGAATCGATGCCCAAGTATCCTTTGGAAGCCTCTCAAATCCCCGTTCAGCTAGGGTTCCTCATCTCCTGCCGCCGCAAAGTCATCAACGTCCAGCATGAGATACATAACCCGTCATCCTCAAATCGTTGATATAAGTAACCGGAATTACCGGGACCGATGCCAATTCACATGTAAACTCATGTGCGCTGCAAAATGGCATGGAATCGTTCGACGACCTTGAGACACTGCGTTAATCACAAATGACAATCGGCAGGGATAGCTTCCAACCATGATAACTTACCTCTGGGTTTGATTTCACGAACGGGAGGTCAAAGAACATATACTTCTCGTTCTTGAGCAACTCGACAACCGTCACCATGAGACCCCACGGCTGAGGCCAGTACCCGATGAGGCGCTCCCAAAGCACTCGTGTGATTTGCTGCCGAATCTCCGTCTCCTCCGGGTCGTTCATGTCCTGGCCAAAGATTTCCAACAAGACCCGACTGAAGTAGTTGGTATGGGCATTCGGAAACCGGAGCTGATTGGTTATGCTAGTGATGAGAAAGTAACGCGCCTCGGGTGACAGCTCGTGGAGCAGTAGAGACATAGTAGCTACGTCTGACGATGCCGGGTTGAAGACATCGGTACCCTTTTGCGTCGATTGCTCGACAGCGTAATTGCCGACGTGTAACGTAACTGCCTCAATCACAGGTAGGTTGGCATTGATAGGCACATGCCCGAAACCGGTGTCAAGCCGCGGGTTCTCAGTGATGGCTCGGGCAATATGCGCCAAAGTATCTTCTGAGGGACCGTTTTGCAACGCATGGTCGAGAATTTCAAGCAATCCCAGGTCTCGAAGAATAGTTGCGGAATTCTCCAAGCTGTCAGGTGATTCCTGAGCCTCATCTAACCGTTCGACTTGCAATCCGGGGAACGATGGGTCAGGCAGCTTGGGGTGAGTTGCTGGGTTCGCCGTCAAAATGGCGTTGAGCAGTTGTTTGCAGTGCGGCGGGACACTGATCGTAAGCTGATGCGAATGGGCCGCAAGATACTCGGAGTAATCGTGCTGCAAGACGACGAGAAGCTTGAGCGTTGCGCGGTAGATCTCTCGCGCCACGTTGGAAGGCTCAATCGACTTGACCTGCTCTCCGACGTGCTCAAGAAGTAGCTGCAAGAGTCTGGTAAACGCGACCCATCCAGCACGGTCTTTCATGATGGTGGGCAGGAATACGCGGTGCTGGAGAAGAGAAAGCCATCCAAATACAAAGCCTGGGAGATATTTTGGCCCCAGATCGACGAGCCTGGAAGCGAACTTGATAAATAATCCGGACTTCTCGGCCTCGGAAAGCTGCTCAGCGGTTGAATTGATCTCGTACAGCAGGACTGAGAACAGACGATGGAAGACTCTTTGGTTGAAGTGTTCGGCGCGCTTCACGTGGTGGTGGTTGAGAACAAGGGTGATGAAAGCTAAGATGGAGTCCAAATACACCGCGCGACTGGGCGTTGGAGCGGGCTCAGTTTCGTCATGTAGCCGGATGAAGATATTGATCATCTTAGCTAGAGCATCAATTGCGAGGAAAGCATCCGTCAGTGTTCCTGTCGTATGGAGGAAGTGTTCAAATCTGTCCACCGACATGTCTGCCGCGATTCTGATGAATAGGAAGAGATCATCCTTGGTCTTGACCACGTCCCTCATCTGCATTTGTTCAACAAACAGAATCGCAGAGTTCTCCGACGCGTTGGGATTGTTGCAGAGATGAATCCATTCATCAAAAACATACTCCATCTGATCCAGGTGAACAGCGCTGTCAGACCCTTGTTGGGAAGCCTGCGGCAGTGTCTGGCCGCAAAGCTTTGCCTTCAAGCGCTGTCCAATTATCGACTCCGGCTGATCTTGTATCCAGGACCAAGCGGCCTCGAGTGTTCGAACGAAGTCTCCGTAGAGAGCCATCGGTCGGTTGGCCAGAAGCGTCAGATCTACCATCTGTTCCAAGAACTCCAGCGACCCTTCTTTCCTTTGCTGAAGCACTTTGGACATTGCCAAGTCAATGTTTCTCCAATCAAGAAGATCTGTGCGCAACAGCGCAGCAAGAAGAGGTAAAGTCAGGAACGTCGATCCAGGCTGCTGGCGAAACAGAGCAGTCACGCGGTTGTTCAGCGTTGGACCAGAAATCTTCCTTAAAGTCTCAAGAACGTGGACCAAGCTCTCAAGGGCTAGGTTGTCCTCGACCTGAGTGAAGATAAGCTGGATTATCTGGTCGGCCGCGTAGATGGCGAACTCTTCAGAGGTTTGCGATGCCTTGATCATGTGCTGGACCAAGGCGTCGACAACATCAAGGACAGGATGAGGTCGAGGCAAATCTGTGAAGTGCTCTTCACGGGCCTCGGTGGCAACACGCTGGAGCTCTATAAGAAGCTTCTGGACACGATCAATCAACGCACGGCCATCCATCTGGAATGCCTGGGGTCTCGCGCTAGCCATCGCTCCGTTATGGACTGGGGCGTAGGATTGGATTTGGGAATTGAGATGCTGAACTGCCGGCGCCTCTGCAGCGGCACCCAAGCCGGGCACAGTAGAAAATTGGTCCTGCAGAACTTCGTTGGCAAGCGAACGGGTTGCGTCAGAAGCCGAAGGAACATGGGAAGGGACATTGGACGTAGTGCTGCGAGGCTGGCGGGCAAAGTCCTCATAGATCGCCATTTGTTCAGGGTTCAAACCACCCATACTTGGTGACAGCTTGAATGGGTTAGGAATCGTCCAGGCCCATCGACTGAGCGACGCATCCACATATGGCTCGTTGGGCCGTTGCAAACGGTGGCGACGTCGTGCTTCCAGCTCGGGCTCAATCATCTCTTCAATCTCGGGCACCGCTCTCTCTTCCGCCTGTTTCTCGATAATGTTGCAGGCGAGATCAAGATTCGAGTTGACGCACATGATGATCGTGCCCTCAGGTAAACCCTGCGGGAGATCATTCGACAGATTCCGCATATAGTTGGTGAAATTGGCTCTCAGAGGCTCTTTGGACGTCACCAGCGCTAGGCTTCCAGCCGTCGCCTTCACCATGCTGATTGCCGATGTTCGAACTCGATTTTCGTCAGGCTCAGTAGCAAAGTCCTTGTGAATCATTTGCTGTGTAGAGATGGCAGCAATCGTAACTGATCGATCCACGACGGGTTGAATGATATCTTGTAAAGCGCGGGTGAGAGCAGTGCGGACAATCTCGTGCAGCCGTGTTGCCGTAACGACCATCTCGTTTGTGGGAGGTATGTGAATAAGAGGACCGAGGTCCGGGATGGAAGCGGCGATGACCTGAGGCGAGAGACCAGCTGCTACACCAGTTGAAATGCCATTCAATGACAGGTTCTCAAACGTATCCAGTGTGTCCTGTGGAAGCACGTCCTGTGTGTCCTCGACAGCGGCGCGGTTGAGTATTTCTCCAGAAGGTTCTATGCTCTTGTGATCAAGATTAAGGCCTTTGCACAAAACCTCAATCTCGAACTTGAGGTTCAGTTTTAACTCGGCATGATGGTACAATTCGATGAGCAGGTGGATAATATCCATAAGCCAAGGATTCGGTGGCCGGAACACTGTTGAATTGGCGCCCTGGAGAAGAACCTTGCAGACGAAAGGGATAACAACTATAAGCCTCTTGGTGTCATGGGCTTCGATCAACAACTGTTTGAAGGCGATGTTCTTATGTTTGATTGGCTTGTCACGTGCCAATGTCAGTAGACCCAGCCATCCACCAAGGTTCTTCAGGTGAGAGCGCTCAGTCGAGTTCTGCATCGTGGCCTCTGAGTTGAGCATGCGGGCGACGCTAACATACGTCTCCCTCAATACCTCCCCCCACAACACCCGGTCTTCAAAGAGCTTGACCAGTTCAAGGTAGACCTGATGATAGTTGGGTTGCATCTTGGCTCGCTCTTCAACAAGATGGCTCGCGAACCATTGCTGGTAGCGGTGCTCTAAGATGTCTCGTAGTTCCTGGCACATTGTCTGTAGAGTCGTCTCGGTGAGGTTGTTGAGAACAAACTGGATTTTTCCTTGTGTGTCGCCTGAGGGCTCCTCAGCATCAACTCCAGGAGATCGTTCAGACGCATTGATGGAAGCGAACGGTGGTGATTGTCGCTCCGTGCTTCTGGCATCCGTCCCATTGCCATTTGTCAGTGGTTCGCTGGTGAGAGGGGGACCATGAGCAGGTGTCGCTATGCCATTACGTGATCGAGCAAGCTCTTCCTCGTGGTCTCTGACGACATCTTCGGCCTTTTTCCACGCCTCAGTGCCTTGAAGGCCAGGTATCTGCAGTAATTGTCGACAGAAACCGGGCCACTCGCGGAAGCGAGAAAAAAGTTGCATCAGAGCTTGGAGTCCGAATTTATACATCGAGTCCTCTGGTAAATAGTCTCTGACGGCTTCTAGAATCATGCCAAGCCCGATCTTGAGCGGGAGATCAGAAATGAGCTTATGGGATATGATACCGCCGAATAGCACCGCAGTTGTTGCAAGAGCTTCCAAAGGATAATCGACGTAATGGGCGTACTCGTCGAACAAGCCATGGATCATGCAAGCGAAAACGTCCTGGTCCAGGGGATCACGAGAGTGCTTGTATCGATCGAGGATCTCGACAATGTTGCGGACTTGAATCTCGTCCCCATACATCTTCTTATAGTGCTCTTCCATCTTGCTGTTGGCGGCAGCAGGTAAGGCATTTCCATCTTTGCCATTGGCGTCAATGATATCGTCAAAACCCTCGCCATAATTGATCAGTCTTGGGTAAACAGTAATGCAAGATCTTTGCACCATAATGAGATCCTGCAGAGGTGTCTTTGGCAAGAAGTCCTCCAAGATCTGCAGAAAAGCGGCCACTGTCCTCACTTGGAGGGTTGTGCTGGACTTGACAGCGGGTTGACCATCGGGGGGCCGCTGGAATTGTAGTTCAAGGTTCGCTTTGATCAACAAAAACTGTAGCAGAGAGCGTGCAACCTCGTTGCTTCTCTCAGAGTTACGGCGAGCCCAATTGACCAAGTCGAGGTACCCTTCGGCATGTGCCAGAGCTGCGAGGTCAAGACCAAAGCCATTGGGCAAATACACAAGCTCATCGAGCCATTTGTGCTTCAGGGCATGCTCGAATATTAAGGGAAGATCGGTTGGTTTGATAGCATGGGCATCAATCAACCGTTGTGTCACCCATTCCTTATCCTTCTTCCATAAGCTGTCAAGGACGAAATCATATTCGGTCGAGCGCTTGTATAAGAAGCTTTCGAAAAGGGAATTTAGCGTGTCCACAGCCATCGTCGGCCAGGGCTTTGGTACCCCGAATGCAGATACAACAAATATGTCCAAGTTTGGCACCACGACCTCTTGAAATAGGCGTTTGGCTTCAACACTCTGCGACGCGTGTACGGAGTGTAGGGCAACGTGAAACACCGCTGACAGAGCTTCGACCGAAACAAGTGCATGCTTGACTGCGAACGCAGCGCGTTGTTGGACCTCGGGTAAGGACTGCGCATATGTGTCCAAAGTCAACGTTGGAACGAGACCCGGGATGGTACTGGCGTCCAGCTGATCAGGCTGTAGAGAGGCGAATGCGCAAATGAATGACAGCTGAGTTTCCGGGTGCTCCCAATTGCCACCCCACAGCTTTTGGATGTCAAATGTTTGATCGTCCTGCGCAATCGGCAATAACGCGTTGTAGAGGCGCATGAACTGCTGCGAGGAGATTCTGGCAGATCTTTGATCAAAATACGAGACCACGTCTTGCCATCGGAAGGAAGGAGGAAGGACTCGACGTAGAGATGCAGTGAGAACCGAAGAATTGTAAGGCGGCGTCTGGCTAATCGTGCTGTACGTAAGGGCAATAGAAACTTGCTCTTCACTCAGCTGGACATTTGGCGGGCGGTTCTGCAAGTACGATACGCAGGTCTCTTCATCCCGCGTGAAGTCACCACCGGTCCTTTGAATGTACGTGGCGAGTGCATTGGGAGGTTTGTCGGCTAGCACCCTGACCAAATCAAGTGCCGCGAGCACTTCGGAAGGAGGCGGTGCTTGATCTCCATGCCACCTTGCCTGTACTTTATAGGCAAGTTCGGCCTTGGACGCAGCATTGAAGTTGGGTGGCTGGTATTGAATGAAGCGGTCGACGAGTATGGCAATGAACTGGTCCGTCAGATCCGCATGCTCTTCTATTTCGCGTCGGGCAAGAATGTTGACGAATGTAGGGAAATTCGTGGACAATATGGCGTCAGCTAGAAATGCAAGTTAGAACACGAAAAGACAGAAACCGCAGCGGCTTAGAGCAACGCACCCTTCGTCTTGAGGTCGGATCTCGATCCCATTTTGAAGGCTAATGCCAGTATCGTCTTCTCTAGAGCATCTAGCTTGAATGCTTCCATGAACGTGGACATATCGAAGTCACGGAATATATCTTCTGTACCTATCTCGATGGATTCGGCAATCTTGGTGGCCTGATTGATGTCGTGGGAAATCTTTTGCACTTCGGTTACGAGAAGATGGAAGTTGCCATTGGCACCCGGTCGTGGCTGACCATGAAAGATGTGGGCGGCATGAACAGCCACGAGGCGCGCAAAGTACTTTGTAAAAACCTCCATGCCGTGTTCATCGATGAGCTATGAAGAAAAAGGAGGCGCGTTAGCACAAAGCTTGATGAGTAGGCTGGGAGCTGATGGCTGCAGAAATAGACGGAAGGACGGGGCTTTTACTTTTTGTAGTTGTTCTGCTTGTGTCTCCCACTTTGCGCGGTCCTTATCCTCCTTGATGGCGCCGAGAAGTAGGTAAATCTGGGCAACTGCAATCTTGACCAGGGGATTTGGCCCCGTCGGACTACTCGTATTGGGACTTGCGCCCGCACTCAACGCAGAAGATTGCGATGGATGGGGCGATTGCCCAGCTCCTGTCTGCAGTGTCTGTGAAGGATGTGGAGAGAATGATCCCGATCTTGATTGTGGGACCATGGGATAGTATTGCGTATGGGGGAGAGAAGTTGGAAGGCGGAATCGTCCGTCTTGCAAATAGACCAGACAAAACCAGCTTCCTCGCTGAAGCTCCGTAGATCGTGCCGCTGAAGAATGCTATTGCAACCAAGGATGTCCGCATGAACAAAGAGTGATGCAACAGCTGTGCAGGACAGCGCTGGCGCGTTGCGACTAGCGAAAGAAGACAACGATTTGAGACGAGAACGGCTGCGGAGAATGAGTGCGCTAAGTGGAGGATATGGAGTTGACCTCTGGCCGAGTTTGATGCGATGGGATGGTGACAGTTGGCGGTTGAAGTATTTAAGTAAGGAGGAGAGGAGGGGGGGACCTGGCACTTGAGCCAGGTCAATCGGGAGCGACTCGAAAAGCTCGCCGAGCTGTGGGCGTAGGATCGATGCGGCGGCTTCCAGAGAAATCAGGCGACTTCTGAGGGTTGAAGAAGGGTAAAGAAAGGTTTGAAGGGCTCGGTAAAGGGTACGACGTTGATTGTGAACGTCTGTCGTGTTGTGCTAGACAGCTTCGCAAGAGATGAAGAAATTAGACTCAGGCCGAATTGACCTACGTGAGGACGTAGAGGCTCAGGTCGCTGGCAGGGGATTGGATGTGGACCGAACCTGCACAGTAAGGGCAGTGGAATGGAAGAGGTTGAGACAGCGCTGAGTTTGCTTAGGTAAGGCGGCCCGGGTACTGAGGTGCTAGATATCAATCTGTCCGGTCGCCGGGTAAAGAGGGGGTATACGATATAATGGCACCAACGTGCATCTTGGGGTACCCTGAGTCGCACGTGACATGTTTTCAGTGACCAGCTTGCGCGCTGCTGTACATAGATATGGGATGGATATCTACCTAGGCAGGTGGTACTCCACATCAAGCCACGAAATCGGTTGGACGAGGATACCTGTTAACAGCTGACAAGTCGACAAGGGAGCAGGGACATTCCTTTTACACAACCCATCACATTGAGGCTTGCTTACCTACGTACACAGGTAGAGAGGCAGGCTGCTATTGCATCCCTCAAGCGGTACGTACCTTGCGCCTCCAAGATTCTCATGGGCGCTGGGCGGCAGACTGGTTACCCGGCAACGCACCCAAACAACTCTATCTCTTCTTCAAACGACCGATAGTACTTATCTCTGCCAACGAGGCTTCTCATCTATTCTCTATATTGTATAGAGTATATTTGAGAAGAGCAATCAGCTTTGTATCGTTCATTTTAACCATCAGTCCTTCGCGAGCATCCAACCATTGCTGCTACGATTACGCTTCTCGACAGATTAACTCCGATTACTCCCTATCTTTATACAGCGGGTTGACATCTCTCGCAGGCAGAATGCCTGCAACAACAATGGAAGCGCCATCCGTGGCTCTGTCATGTACGTGAGGCGCGCAGATACACCGGTAATCGAAGCTAACAATTGGAAGTCGCAAACAACTTTTGGGGAAAAGAAGATGCCGGTGTCGGCCCCCTCCTTGACCGCATGCTTGCTGCCAAGCAGACGTGCGATGAGCTTAAGGCATTCTACAGTGGTTAGTAGCAATCATCAGCTTATTGATTCTTTGGCTAAAGAAAGGCTAATGCCCGATGTAGCTCGAGCCTCGATCGAAGACGAATATGCCCGAAAGCTGCTTTCATTGTGTCGCAAACCCCTTGGGTCCCACGAGACGGGGAGCTTGAAGACCTCATTAGATACCGTTCGAGGTGAAGTCGAGTCGATGGCGAAGCAACATCAAAGCATTGCAGCGCAGATGAAGACTGAGTTGGAGGAGCCACTTGCTGCATTCGCCGGTGCCATGAAGGAAAGAAGAAAGATTGTACAAAATGGTATTGAGAAGATACTCAAAATAAAGATCCAGCAGACACAGCACGTGAACAAGGTAAGCCATGCCTCAGCGTTGGCATTCAGTCATAGTCATCATCCTATAAATAAATGGCTCGTTAACACAATCGACAGACTCGAGATCGGTTCGAGCAGGAATGCCTCAAGATCAAAGGCTACCTCGCCCAGGGACATATGGTCATGGGCCAAGAAGAACGCAAGAACAAAGCTAAGCTGGAAAAAACGCAGATCAGTGTCGCAACCTCCAATACAGAGTACGAAAACGCGGTCAAGGCGCTCGAGGACACAACTGCGAGATGGAATCGAGAGTGGAAAGCCGCAGCCGACAAATTCCAGGACTTGGAAGAGGAGCGTCTTGACTTTACCAAAAGCAGCCTCTGGACTTTTGCCAATGTCTCTTCCACTGTCTGCGTCAGCGACGATGCTTCCTGTGAAAAAATACGACTATCGCTTGAGAAGATGGATGTTGAAACGGATATTGTCAGCTTTATCAAGGAACAAGGTACTGGTCAGGAGATCCCAGATCCTCCCAAATACATCAACTTCTGTCGGGGAGACATCAACGATACGCAGTCAGAATCGTCTGACGACGATAACTACTCGGTCGCGCAGTTTCCCAGAAGTATCAACCCAGCGTTCCGGTCATCTTCCCCGCAACCCTCGACTTACGAATCGCACCATGACCCAAACTCAAGCCTCGCCCAGGATCTTGGACACAAAGAATTAGCCCCGGTATCTTCAAGGACTGCTGCTGTCCCTGATATGGGTCGCAAAGAAGCGAGTTCCTCTATATCCAGACACCAGGCTCCAGATACAGCACGAGCCGATACCAGCCCCTCCTCCAAAGGCTTTGCACCAGAACAGAGCCACAAGAATGCTGGCTCTTCTTCCAGGAGCTTCGCGCTGGAAACTAGACAGGATGACGCAAGCCCTCCAAGAAGTTATTTCCAGGACATGGGCCGGCGGGAGATGGTCCCAAGGTCTGTTCGTGAAACCCCACCGTCGATGCAGAAAATGCCACCAGCAATGGATAAGCTGCGCCAGGGGGCTCAAATTACCAATCAGCATGTTCAGCAACAACAACAACAACAGCAGCAGCAGCAGCAGCAGCAGCAACACCAAAGCCGGCCCCAAGTTGATGTGAGCCAACATAGCTCATTTGCCGCCGTTCCGCATGATCCATATCCTCTCGATGGCATGACGATGCTGTGCCGTACTGGGCCCCAATCCGAGCGTAGTTCTCACCCCCCTTCAGCTCGACCATCGAGCCGTGACTCGCAAAGCGACTACTCAAACCCAACTTCGATCTCAAGCCAAGAGCCGCCTAGCGATAAAATTTCTCCAATCAAGCAGGAGCAAGTCAACGCGCCACCTCCAGCATCAGACAAACAGGTCCTCAAGAAGAGAAGTGGTTTCTTCCAGAATCATAGTCCTTTCCGTCGGAAGAGCACAAAGGATACTCAAGGACCGCCGGCAAACAGAAACACATGGCATCCTGTATCCGCTCAAGGAAGCCCATCCCGAAGACCACATTTGTCAACACAAGAAACATCAAACCTGCTCGGAGATAGATCAGCGAACAGTCCAGAGCCGATTGATGCGAATGCCAGTCTTGCACTGAATGTAGGGCAGAATGTCTTCTCAGTCACAACCCCGGACCTGGAAAAGAGAAAGGGCTCGAGTGTCCAGCCCTCCCAGCCTGAGACCGATCCAATTGCCCTAGCCCTCGCAGAGCTCAAGGGTGTCGGCGTCGGCAAGCAATCGAGCGTACGTGTTTCGGCTGACCGCTACCACGGCATCGCCACTCCAACGCCTAGTTCTCAGCCATTCTCCAGGTCGGTCCCACCAGCTGCAAGCAACGGCGGCGCTATGACCGCGGGTCTTAGAGGAACACCGCCTCCTTATGACCAACAAGTCGTTCAGAGACTTGGGGTGCCCCCTCAGGCAGTAACGGCAAAGGCTATGAAGGAAACATCGCAGAAGTTTGCCGACCAAACCCGAAGCATGTTCAACCCAGTGAAGCGTCCCGGATCAGGCTACAGCGGAACCACTCAATCTCGACCGATGACAAGAGGGAGTGATGTCCCTAGAGCGGCATCCCCGGCTCCAATACGAAGCGCTTCCCCGAGGGTGACGCCGGCTGAAGATGTCCGGAGCGCCTATCGAAGCTCGCCGCGCAGCGCTTCTCCGAGGACTGGGTTGGCGGAAGATGTCCACGGCGAGTACGGGTCTGCCTCACCTAGTCATCGTGGATCCGTGGGTAGAGACACCTCGCAGATGAGCAGTACGCCCCGAAGAGGGTCTGAACAGCCGTATTATAGACAGAACTCGCCAAGCAGCATTTCGAGAACAGCATCTCCGGCTCCTTATTTGGAGAAGATGCGCCCTGGCAGTAGCCATGTTGCCAACGACATGGCGGTTCAGTTAGCGTCCCTTGGCGATGAAACTTACGGATCAATGCGCGGTCGAGGCGGGAACCGTCCTGGTACGAGCTCTAGTAACCGGGCCATGGGTCTTTACGAGGGAGGCGGGCCACCCGGGCAAGGCGATTCGAGGCCGCGTAGCAAGAGTGTAGCAGACCCGTCGCGGCAGTACACTCGAGATGGCAGGCCTATTTTGCACTTTGGTGAGTATGAGACAAGGTCTCGACGGGCTATTGGAAGAGTACAGCGCTAATCAGATCATAGCAAGAGCTCTGTACATGTACCAGGCGGCCATTCCGGAGGAGCTGGGGTTCGCCAAAGGCGACCTACTCGCGGTTCTGCGCCACCAAGATGACGGCTGGTGGGAGGCCGAGGTGCATGGAAGCAATGGGCGAATGGGGTTGGTCCCAAGCAACTATCTTCAGCCATGTTAGAGCAATTCGCTGGTTGAAAGTGGTGCTGGATGGGCTTGCTTGTGGTGACACTGGCACGAGGCCAGTAAGAGCTAGTGAAGCCGGCCAACTTGACGAAGGCTAATGTTATGAAGTCAACAACTGTGAGACTTGATCTTGATTGTACGATTTGTCTTATTTTCTTGTTTCTTCTTCGTTTGGAGTTGGGAGTCTGATGAGAATGATAGCGCCTAGCTCAGATATGCATTGGTTGTTGGCTCTCACGGGAACCATGAGAATCAAGCTGTGGCATTCCGGCTAGTTGATGACGCTGTTCCAGTTACGATGCCTATGCAAGTTTAAGTAATCCATGCTATGTACCCAAATGTATATGCTTATAGAGGGGTAGACAGAACCGTAGTAGAGATAATCACCCACCTGCGAAAGACATACCGAGTCAAAAGTCTGTTTACAGCAGTAAGAACAGCCAATCAAAAGCTACGTTAGATGGCCGAGGCATAAGGCCCTTGGTGGCGCACTGTGGAATGACCTCAAGCTATCAGTGGGCCCTCTATTCAACTCTTCGTTATCATCCTTTTTGCTGTAAACAGACTTTTGACCTAGTACTGCAACATGCTGTCATAAGACATACCGTTGCATGTGATCGGGCTTGAGCCATCCCTTCCCATTGCTGCTGTTCCCTCCAATGCGTCTGCACTCGCGCTCTGGGCTGCTTTGAGAAGAAGGAAGCTGTTATTACCTCACAGACTGCTGCACACATTTATTATCGATACTCTCGCCCTGCTGTATTGGGCAGCCAAGCCCTCGAGCGAGAGCATTACACCCGCTTTCCATAAGTATCGACACCTACATATCGGTTCAATTGGCACTGTACCAAAACAAGCCACGAGGCGCTCGAACTTGGTCAATTACAGTGAATTCCAGGCAAAGGGCGGCGAGTGTGCCAGCCACACGTATCCGATCAACACCACACAATTGTTACGCTACCTGGACTAGGTACGGATAGAGTACAGCCGCTCAGCTTGAGCTTCCCTCACCTTGATATTTCCCTTCCTTTTGCCTACCTCGCATCTCCCCCAAAGTATGCACTCTCCACCTCACCAACATCGACACTCGCAGCAGCCGACTCGATCTAACTTGCCGATGATACACAACTCTTGAACCCCACCGCCAAACCTTATTGCCAAGAACCGAATACCTATAATACATCGGACATCTCAATTTGCAGGGCGGCCGTCGATAACGGTTTACGTTTGAGTAGCCATCCTTAATGCACAGAACCAGCACAGCCCTTGTTTGTCCCTGTTGAGTCCAACGATAGGCCAGTGTCGATTTTTCAACTTCCTCTCGCTGCAATGGTAGCCTCCTCCTATCAAGCACCTAGCAATAACTATCCTTCGCATTCTAACCTCAACTAGGAAGTATTGGGCAAGGCATCTCGCGCCGCCACATCCAAGACCGCACAGCGAACACTCGTGAATGTCAGCCTCCTCGTGGGAGCTTCGCTGTTTTTACTGCCCTTTGCCGCTGTCGCATCGGTTCTATTTTTCCAAAACTATCTTCCTGATCAAGTGGTGACGGCCCCTGTGCATCTCCAGTATGGGTGAGTGAACCCTGCCGACCCATCCTACACGCAACAGAGTGAGGAAGGACGCCACGGGCTGACGCCTATCCCAGATCGGGAGCCAATCCCTTTGGAACGGCTGTCATTCCAACGTCTGCTCTCAGGACGCAACAAGAGTATGATGTGTCCGTCACGCTGTCCATGCCTCGCTCGCCTGCCAACACCCATCGAGGCAATTTCATGATCGCCCTCCACCTTCTGGATGTCGGCGCCCTCTCGACGGGATACGACCAGTTGCAACCCCAAATTCCTCCCGAGCCTTACAGCCATTTCGACGGCAAATCCGTTCTGTTCTCCTCGCGACGCCCAGCACTCGTTCCATACCAGGATCCCCTGGTATCACTTGCATCGCGTATATTCTTCATTGCCTATTATATTCTGTTCGCGGATTCACAAACATGTGTGCTCACAGTGCCTATGGCCGAGCGGGTGGAGCTGGGCAGAGGGTTCTCATTGCCATCATCAGCCTACCTAGAAATACAGGGTGGTCAGAATATCGAAACGTATTATGCCTCGGTGACACTGACTGCTCAGCTAAGAGGCCTACGCTGGCTGATGTACCACTATCGTCTCGCAACCCTCACTTCCGCCATTCTATTGTTCTGGGCGTCTGAGGTTCTATTCATGGTCGTGGCATGGTTATTGTGGTCGGGACTGTCAGGATCAGGCTCAGGCTCTCGCACCAGTGCTGGAAAGGCCTTGGAGGAGGTTTCATCCAAGGCGGCAGGCCGAGTCAAAAGAGAGGATGGCAGTGGAGTTGACGAGCTGTCGGACGCGCCAAGGACATTCCCAACGTATGGTAACCAGGCACCGCTGCGATACGAACCCGAAATCAAAGAGGAAGCTCAGGCGGGGCCCCGTATGGAAGATTTGGTCCCACTCGGGGGCGAGGCGGATGACGAGGAAGAGGACGACGGACGGGGTAGTTACAAGGGTGACTCGGGCATTGGAACAAGCTACAGCGAGGGTGGCTCGAGCAGTGTTCGGCGCAGATCATCGCATCATCGCTAGATTTTGGTGTTTAATACCGTCTTTCTAGGCAAATCGATAAGAGTGGTGTGGCCTGGAGGGCAAGAAGAACCGCAGATGTTGAATACGATTAGTCATGGACGGTCTCGAATTCTTCTTGTCAGAATATTGAAGTCGAAGCTTTCGACATTATTCGAACTGAAATACAACTTTGTTTACTAAGGATGCTCAACTGGCATTGGGGCATAGACACACAATCAAAGAATGAGCACACAAGTTAAACGTCCTGGAAACAGAAGAAATATGTAGTAGGCACCCTTGCTCTTTGTGTGAACTTCTTGTTGTCGGGCACTGAGCTTACATTTTATTGGTATCTTTGTTGTAGTGCATCTGGATGGGCAAGGTCGTTTCCTATTGCCCTCTCTCCACTGATAGGTAACTAGGGAGGATGGTAGTAATTCGGTCACCTCAGTTGCGCTCTCAGACTCTCTCTCAACTTCCCGCAGCCACCTAACGTGTCCTTCCTTCTGGTCACCCACCAACATAGAGACACAGTACTAGATCAAAAGTCTTGTTACAGCACCGGGGGTAAGCAGCTAATAACGCCAGCAAGAATTACCAGTCTAAGGCAGAAATCAGTGGAGATATCCTCATTGTCATAACAAGACTTCTGACTTAATACTGTAGGTACCTAGCTATGTACCTGGCCTAGCCCTCTCCCTACCTAGGTAGTGGTAGGTACCTAGGTAGGCACCCACCTCTATAACTAGTAGATTTTTTTTCTCCTGTATCCTTCCCCGCAGCAACAGTTGTTGATTGTGGAGAAATTCCCAATCACCCCTCCTCCTGCTGCACACCGCCGCATCGTCCTCGACAAAGGACCTTGTCCTAGCTTTGACTGACTACCTACCTGCCTTGGCCACTACTCACTCACTCTCACCTTGCTCTCTTTCCCTCTCTCTGCCTTGCGTTCCCTTCCTTGACTACCAACGCAGTGGTCGCCGACTTCTCAGCCTCATTCAAACATCGTCGGTTTTTGGCTCCCCTCTCCTGTGTGGTCTTACCAGTCTTGCCACACAATCTTGGTCCTTCTCAACTCAGTCTGTAAAATACCTCGCACCCCAGTCATCGGGGCAACCATGCGCACCATTCGCTCCTAGGCCTCCCCCGCCCAAGTCCCATAACTACGCAGTGCTCCGTCCTAGGTACCTCGCTACATTATCTTTACCGTACACCACAGTTCTACTGCTGGTCCCGTCAGCCTTCAATCGTCCCAAGATCCACTCAACGCCCCCCTCCCAAGTTGATTTGGAGACGGTGAGCAAGAGCAATCTCTACCTCGACTTGGCTACTGCTCTGTTTGCTACACCACCGGCCTCGACACCTACGCGCATCATCTTCGCTCTGACGCTTCTCGCCTGCCAAGAAATTAAAAGCAACCAATTTTGCGTCCTTCCGACAACAGGAGACAACAAAGGGAAAAAAGGATACACCCCGCTATCCCTCAGTTCACCGTCACAGGTAATCGCCGACTCACGCGAACCAACAGCCTCTGCCTCTCACAGCCCCCCGACTTATCTGGGCTTCCGGACCTCCTTCGATATCTCCTCTCCAGAAATACTCAAACTTCGTCTCCGCTTCCGCACCTCTGTCTAATCGCCGGCTTATACACGCGCTTGCTTTGTCCGTCTCCGATCTCCCATTCATCCTCCGAGTGCGGCGCGCCTACGCGCTCCAGTCCGCCTCGACATCATGCCCTGCTTCAAAGGCATCGCCGTCAGCATACATGCCAACGGCGCGCCCCTCCCCGAGCATGGCATGCAGAAGCAGTCGCGTCTATCACGAATCAGCACCTATATCCCGGTCCCTCAACCAAGCATCAATCCCGACTCCAACAAGCCCGAGCCTGCTAAATTCGCAATTTCTATTACTCTTCTTACTCCTGGTCTGCCCATTCCGTACTCCACTCCCAAGGCAACGGAGAGTAACCCCTACCCGAAGCCGCAGTTTGTTGGCGGCCTTCCCACAGCTGGCCATGGCCCTTCTAAATTCTCTGGTGTCGTCAACCCTTACATTCCCATGACCAACTCCGAAAACGAGACGATAGCCGCCTACATATATTTCGATGGTAGAACCAAGGAAGAGGTTGCTACGCTTCTACGCCCTGGCGAGGAGACATGGGTCAATAGCCGTTGGGTTCAGATTCCAGACTCGGAAGGCGGCGGTCTCGCCGAGCGCGAGTTCCTCTTTCGCGAGGTCGGACTGGAGCGCTGGCTCAATGGCCTGGACCTGCAAGGCCATGACGCCGCCGAGAAGTTGGAACGTCGCCGCCAAAAGTTTGAGAAGCGGCGTCGACGCCAAAAGGCCACCACGGGCGCTACCAGCATGCAGGTTGAAGAGGGTTCTAATGGTCCCAGGGACACCCTTCGCTACGGCGCCGACGACGGCTCCCCCGTCGAGCCCGTCTTTGGCGAAGATGATTCTGATTCCTTAACCGATGATGACGATATTCCTGAGGCAACAGGTCAGATCAAGGTGCTCATGTTCCGCGTGCTGGCATCGGGCGAAATCAAAAAGGGAGAATACTCGCCTCAGTTTGATGCTTATGACGACGATGACGATGCTGCATCTGGCAATCAAGATAACGGAAAAGGCGGTGTTGATGCCGACGTTGAACACACCACAAGCTTTGCGAAGCCCAAGACATTGGACCCGAAAACCATTAGCACCCAGACTGTCACAGGTATCGACGGTCCGGACAAGCCATATGCCTCTTTCACATTCTTCTATCGTGGAGAGAGTAAGCCCTCCACCGTGGGATAATTGCTTTGCACAAAGCTAATTACTCAAGCAGGACAACTTCAGAAAATCGGTATAATTGCCTCTTCCAAATCGACCCAGGCGACACCGGGGTCGGCCAAGCGGCGATCTGGACAGCTAGACTTTTCCAATCTTGGCCCGTTAAAAACATCCGGAACTGTTGGTTTTTCGACCTTCAGAGACCAAGATACTGAGGCCACCAGAAGACGAAAAGCCCGCAAGAAGAGCAACGGCAACGTAGGGGGCGCTCTGAACGACGACAGTGACGACGACGATGACGAGAGTGAGCTCATTGGGAAGATGCAGGATATTGATGAGAAGGAGGTTGACAACAAGCTTGCCCCCGAGGACGTTAAGTTTCAGGGTGAGCTTGCTGATGGGGTAAACCGTATTCACGTATGTTGCACAGGCTTGTCCACAGGAGGTATTCTTCTAACTTTGATTGAACAGCTCAAGAGGGCACACTCAGCGGAACCTGACCGCACTGGAAAGGCGGGCGCCGCTCAGTCCGGCATGTTTCCGGGCTCATTGACAAATCCCGTTCCCACCGCAGGCAATCATCAAGTCGATGTGAGCGCTGCTCAGAGCAACAGCCATAATACGACAGTAGAGACAATGATCGGAAGCCCCTTGAAGAAACATCGCCCGAGTATTACCGCTGGAGACAGCCACGCGCAGGTGGATCCAGATAACTCAAACTTGGGATTGGATGACATGGTGAACCGCAGTACTGCCACGCAGTCTAGCGCGGCAGGTACGTCAACTACTAATGCGGAAGAGGAAGAGTTGTGATGGGTATTTTGCAGCTGCAGAACTGAAATACGCAAAAGCACCAAGAGAAGCCCTTTCTAGAAACGGCGTGGCGCGGTGGGATTCCAAGTTACATGGCATAGAGGACCGTTATTTCTTCGCGATACTTGCCTGATGGGCGGGTATAACGAGTTCGAGGTAGTAAGGACCCCTGACGGGTCGCCTGATTGCTACGTGACCCGTATGCAACCGCTACAGGTCGCTCCAACTTGAGCCAAATAACATCTTGGACATTCTCGGGCTCCATAAAACAACTCTTTAGTTAAATTATGCATAGGAATCGGGTTTCTTATAGCCCTATCGATCCATCTGTCATAGTGGCGGGGGTTCTGTCAGATAATTACTTGGTCGGCTTAATCTATAGATATATGGATGCATGTCAGTGTAGTGCTACCTACCGCATTTAGTGGGTCCTCCCATTGAAAGTTCGTGGAAAGTATTGGCTGAGCAGGTGGTGATATGTCTGTAAATGGGAAACCGATTGATTCTTATTCACACTGTCTGTTATGCAATTGTCTATCCGTATATCAAGGTCGTTTCCGTTGGCCGAGACTTATGAACAGGGGCTGGAATACAAAACAGCGAAAACAATGGAGAAGGTAAGGTTGTTCATTCCCGTGAAGGAAGTGCTTGTTATTAGCCGCCATAGCCCCTCCCTTACCACTTGTTACGTTTACGTGGGGTATTCCGATGCAGTGCATTACCCCGTCAACTCTCACCTCTAGCACTTCACACTGCTCTCATCGAGCGTTTCCACCAGGTTTCTTTCCCAGGTGTCATTCCGTCTAGCAGGCCGTACTTTTGTATCTCTTCGAGCATTAACATTGTCTTCGGATCCAGCCTTCCCGCGGCCGTCCAAATAATCGAAAAGTTCATCCCCGTAGTCAGTGTTTGCAACGAGGCAGAAGATAGGGTTGGACGCAGCGGCAGGGCACCAAGTCTCCCTCTCATATCAGTCCTTACTAAGGGAATTGAGGCTCGGACGAGTAAACAGATCGATCTTTAGGCCAGAAGATTATTCAATGGCGTCACAGCAAGACCTTCAAGAGCTTCTACGAGTTATCGCCTCCCGAAAAGGAGTCTCAATGATGGTCGCCATGGGCAAGGCCAAGGCTCTGCAGGCTGTGGGCCTCCAAAGGTACGTGTTTCGATGTCACTGCACTCTTCTACTGTTTGGTTATTAAACTTTATCGCGTTCATCGACAGCACACAGCAGATAAGTCAAGCTCCCTTTGACGTGGTTGAGCGCGCCTTGGGAGATGCCAAAACGGCCAGATATCTCATCACCGCTTGCAAGGCACACTCGAAGCAGCCAGCTTATAAACGAGCGGGGGACTTTTTGAGCGCCCCCAGCAGCAAGCGTACTAGGAAGCAGCATATTAGCACTGACTCAGAGGTTGCGGGTCGAAGTGCAGAAGAACAAGAAGATTTGTTGACTCTTCCTGTCATCACGAACGAGGAGGAGATTGCAGAGGCATCTGTTTATACAAATCGAGCACCTCTTATGCTAGCCTTTGTGCTCGAACTTCTTCGATACACGATGCCCGTACAGCCTCTGTCAAGCCGTCTTAGTCTAGCCCAAGCCGTTGTTAATGCAAATGCCACGACCAAGGCTGTCAGTATTGGGCTGGCAAAGACTTCTGGCGAAGATGATTCGTGGGGGGGTGGACAACCGAAGGTCAGTATCATGGGAAGAACGATAGCCGTGCTAAAGAGGGGAGACTACAGGTTGCAGGGTGATGAGGCCGATGCCCCAGAGTGCTCTGGTGGCACCCCGAGGGCCGCACCTCAGGCGACATTGGGTCCGTCAGGCGCCACACTGCAGGGTCACGGTAACACCGCTTCTACAACATCTCTGTGGTCCACCAGTCGTCAAATCACATTCAAGTCTTCGACGTTTGTTGCTCGAGTTACGAGTATTGGGGACGATGGGCAGGCATCTGCTCTCATCCGCTCGCTTTTATCCACCGAGCCGCACCTAAAGACAGCAACGCATAATGCTTGGGGGTATCGAGTGCAGAAGCAGGGACAAGAGAGGAAGTCAAGGGGAATTCGCGAAGTATGTGAAGACGATGGAGAAACTGGTTGCGGCGAGTTCATACTCCGGGTGATGAGAGAAGCCGGCGTCGACGATGTCATAGTCGTGCTGAGTAGGTGGTTTGGTGGTGAGATGTTGGGCCCAGATCGCTGGAGACTCATGAGAGACGTGATTACGGAGGCGCTTGCTCAAAGACTACGAATTAATCAGAGCGAAGGAGGGTGTCAGGGTGTGGCTCTCTGGGCACTTGATTTTCAAAAGAAGAACCATGCGCCGGGAGGAAGCGGGAGTGCACTGAACGCAGGCGATTGGGGCCATGCTGTTGTCGGAGCCTCGATATACCGCCCGGAGCCGGCAAGGGAGTACCTGTTCAAGGCTTTTGCCCCCGACTCGTCCGACCACATCATAAAGGGGGATGGCGGAGAGGGCGGTATGGCAGGAAAGGTTCCGGGGACCAAGGGCAAGAAGCTCAGCAGGTCGGAAGGTGAAGCCGAGAGGCTCCGTCACTTGGGGTTGCTTCTGGGGGCTCTTAGATTGTTGTTTGAAAGCTGGAGCAGCTTGACGCCTCTTGAGTTGGATCGAAGGGCATTTTCGTGGTACACCGCGATACGGCCAGATGTAGAACCGGGGATAGCAGGGTGGGGTGCGAAGGGATGGTTGAAGCTCAGTAACATTCTCCGATTGCGTCGGAACTCCGAGGGCAAGGAGGTGACGGTTTGATCTACCATGACTACCATGAGGCGTGCGATAGTAGTCGAAGGGGCATCGTAGTCGAGGGGATGCAAGATGCATTGCTGCCAGCGCGCAACCCGTGTCAACGAGACCTAGAAGATCGAAAGGGCCTGTCTACAGGTAGTGATGTACACATTCATATCCAACTCTACCTAGGTAATTTGCAGGAGGGCAGTTGGGGCAGTACTGACGAAGGGGCGCCAATTTGGACAAGCTCATCCATACCATCAATGGAACAATTTGTTCTATCACAAACAGCTCATTGGCTTTTCATGTATGATATTCTGCCCCTTCTACAGCCATTCAGTCCTCGGAGAGGTGTCCGAAAATGAAAGGTCTGGCAGGCCTCTTGCCCATGTCAAGCCCGGCCCCACTCCGCAGCAGACCCCTTCACTACACTGCAAGCTCAGGGACACAGGCACTTGTCAAATCGCTGCGGATAATTGAGGTCTCCGACTGCCCTTTTACGCTTATTGACCAAGCTCGACGGATGTGACTCCACGAGGGCGATATACAACAGACACCAAACAAGGTTGAATGCTTTCGAAGTCCTTTTTCCCGCGGAGCGACACATGCCGAATCAAACCGTGCGAACGCCAACATCTCTTGCCTGCCGCTCTTGAGAGCAAACTGGGCCAATGCTACACGTAGCAACCCGGGCCAGGTGCCCTAGACTGCCCCAAAGTCTGTTCTCAGTTCTGCAAAGACCAGCCTCAACTCGACCGGCAAGACAGACTGCGAAGCCTTCACGATCGTTGGTTCTGCCCACTACCGCATGCCCCGCCCTTAAAACATTGCTCACCATGACACAGAATTAGTCTATCCAAACCATATCTTCCCCGCCGCGCGCATCCGGCCTCAATCTCCTCTCCAACTTCTCCGGTCCCGCTCGAAACTGCCGAGACCATCTTCAGGGCCAGAAAGGTCCCCTTGCTCGCCTGTGGTGTCGTGGCTTTGGGTCTAGGCATATATATGAGCCTTTTAGCCTCCTCGCTCTACTCATCGCCCTGTTGTCAATGCCCAGAACCAACCCTAGATGCTATTCCAACAGGGCGACCCAGTGTGTTCACCAAGGAGTCGGCTCGGAAATTCGATCAGAGCCTCGATGGCTCCGAGTGGCTGATGGGTGTCACTGCGCTGCGGCAGAAAATGGCTACCGAAGCTTCAGGACATGTGCTTGAGGTCGCTATAGGCACAGGCCGGAACCTGCCCTTTTACGACTGGAGCAACATCCTTCAATCTCAATCAACGTTTCCGCCGTCAATGGGAGCCGAAGCTACAGTGTCTAAAAGTGAGGGTAAACGCCTTGATTCCTCTTCGGCGCCGATTCTGTCCTACACCGGAGTGGACATATCCAGCGAGATGCTGGGCGTCGCCATAGAGAAGCTTGTAGAAACTATTCCTCAATTGGTGGGTGTTGCACCGAGAGTTATGAAGCAGGCTTTGCCCCCACAGAGTGACTGGGGCGTCTTCTCCTATCTATCGGACAGGTTGAGAATATTTCGGTCCGACATACACGATTTTATTCCCCCGCCCCCAGGGCAAATGTCGACTTTATCAAAGTATGACTTTGTTTGTTCAACGTTTTCGCTGTGTAGTGTCCGTGATCCCGAACAGATGGTTCGGGATCTGGCCAATATGGTGAAGCCCGGTACTGGTAGGATCATCCTCGTCGAGCATGGGAGAGGATGGTCGGGTTTCGTCAATGGGTTGTTGGACAAGTCAGCCGCGTCCCATTTCAAGAGTAAGTAGGCCCTCTCGGGTTCAGTCACTAGCCCGAGTTAATCCTCCCTTCTCTTTAGAATATGGGTGCTGGTGGAATCGAGACATAGCCGAAATCGTCGAGAGCGCCTCCGAGTCGCTACCCGGGCTTGAAGTCGTCAAAGTCGAGCGTCCGTACTTTACACAGCTCGGGACAACCCTGTGGGTTGAGTTGAGAGTGTCTCCCACCTCCTAAGCGCTCAACATTTGCGTCGCAGAGCGAACCGATTTGGATTCTGCTCTTCTTCACTCACCATATGGACGGAAGTTTGCAAACACTCTAGTTGCCGGGAGCATCTATTGAAGTCTTAAGGACAGGAGAGGTTTGTTTATTTCATTTCAATCATACCCTAAAATCATATTTTGCTTTTCCCCGGTCCATGAACATTAGATATTGATGTTCCTGTAGACGCCCATCAGATAAACCTGTTTTACAAGTGCTGATACAAAACAATCGCTCGTCCATTGTTCCTGTCCCGTACCCAAATCAGCTCGGTACTCCAATTAATGATCACATGCCCCCAGGCTTCGCTTTCTCATTTCTTTAATCATCCACTCGCAAAATTCGGTATTAGCCTCCAGTCGATGAAGAAATAAGACAATATTTGCTGAGAGCTCTCAGTATGCAGGCATTATACCTGTGCCAGAGCGGCGGACCCTGCAGCTTCTTTAATCATAACTCGGAGATGGCCCTTGACATCCTCTGCGGACACCTGATTAACACGGTGAGACATGAAACAATTCTCAGCTTCACGTTGAACATCACAGCCATTAACAAGAGTCCAGCAAACAGTCAAGCTCGTCGAGTTCAATGTTCTCAGGACTATGGTCCCACTCTAGTAGGTTCCCCAATTTGAACCAACTGTCGCCGTCGGTTTCCTTTCTGGTGCTTGAAGGTACTGTTGCCTTAATAGCTGGGCTGGTGATGAACTGATGTATAGAAACAGATCCGTTACTGGCTGTTGCGCCGTGTTTTTCGTCAAAAATGCCGTCGTCCCGTACCGATTCATAGGCATTGGTGCACTGCTCCACGTTGCCTGCTGATGAGAGCTCACGGGCCAACTTGCGCTTTTGAAGAACATCGGCTGTGTGAGTGAACTCACGCTCATCCTTCTCCAAGGGAGGCGAGGCACTACGGTGACTCCTAGAGTACCGAACCTTGTTGGGGAGTGACCCAACAGGTGTAATTGGCCTTGCGAAGTCGTCGTCTGCGTCGTCGAACTCGGGAGAAGACAGATCAACTTCCGGGGATGGGCTCAACTCCCTGCGTCGAGTGTCGATATCGTCCCCATCCTCCGATCCAGACGCGATGCTCGAGAGAGATGGTGAGATAACAGCTCTGTGGACGTAGGTTGACGAATCTGGCAAGGGCTGCCTTGGACAGGTCGTCAGGTAGAAGTAGGTCCGGCGTGGGTGTGCTGTCTCAAGCTCCTTGCCTAGTGGGCATGGCGCCTGAGCGCTCCAGCAAGAGCGCTTCAGATATGCAGCGAGACGAGAGGAGATGATAGCGCAAGGGTTAGCGGAGCTGGAATAAGTTAGCAGGTCGGTGGGAGGAAAGAGGGAGTTGTGGTAGTATTACTTCTTCACAATAGGAACTTGTTGCGATAGCACGGTGGCCAGCTCCCTAACTAAATGAGGCCGATTACACGTAATCTGTAATTGCCCAATGACGGCTTCGACAATCTCGTCTTGAATTCCGGCAAGGTCTATTTGTGTTGTGGATACGACGTCGCTGGTGGCATCCTGCATCTCGACGTTGTCTGGCGAGGGGGATGGCGGTGGCGTGTGGTCCAACATGACCTGTTCGTCGGGAAGTTTGTGTGATGCATATCTTTGCCGCGACCCCTCATCTGCATGGGAACGTTTCTGTCTCTTGTTGGGATGCGAAACTGTTGTGGATATGACTGTGATGCGATTTCCTAGGTTCTCGGAAATGCTTCGATTGGAACTGGTAGCGGCAGGGCTGCGGGATGGATGGCTGCCGGGAACGTGAATGCCCAGGGACGGCAGAGACAACGATTTGCGACGAGTATTGTATGGCATCTTGGCGGCCAGGTATGGATTCAACTGAGTGATGAAATTGATGGGTTTTGGTAACGGCAAAAAAAAGTTTTGGACCGAAAACAATCAGAAAACAAGGAGGGTCATCGGCGAAGGGGGGTGGGTGAAAAGAGAGGATGGGAGGGAAGGGCGCGCGCGTTAAGTGTTTAACATAGGGGTCCTCTGTGTTTTGGGTAGCAGATGGGCTTTGCGCGCTGGGCAAGGATGGAGTATACCGACCGGGAACATTGACTGTAAGGGAGCACACCTTTTTTTTTTTTTTTCACCCCCGTCGGCAAACGACTGGGTATCCACTTCTTTCCACGGCAACCCCTAGTCATAGACGTAAGGGGCAAGCTAAGGTGGGAATGTCGGCACATCCCCACCCTTGCTTGCATGGTGATGTAGGTAGGAAAGAGATTTTCTGTCTGCATCCCGTAACCACTGGGTAAATTCGCCTATGGCTAACGTGTGGGCTAATCGTAAGCAGTATCGCGGCTACTGAAAATGGTTTGACGTGCTGACAGAAAAAAGCGTTGAATACTGAGGCAGGATGTTATGGTATGGTGAGGTGTATATGTAGTTGATTCCTTTATCTATGTATCTTGTGTGGTCTTGCTGCTTTATGTAGCAGCCAGTGGGCTACTTATATAACAGTCTGCCCCCTCTAAAAATATAGTGCCCTTACTATTAATAAGTTAATTCCCTTTTGTCTCTATAGCTATATATATATATAGCTATATATAGTTTTAGTAAATTTATCTTTTCTTATTTAGTTATATTTATTCTTATTCTTATATAACTATAAATCTATTACCTTTTAACTTATTTATTTTAGTTATATCTTATACTAAAGTAGTATTATAGTATAAGTGTATTTAGTTTACTTATTAGTCTTATAGTTATCTCCTGTATTATATTAGTAATAATAGTTATATATTTATTATAGTTAGCTATAGTAAAATATAAGATATACTAGTGTAAATTAGTCTATTTATCTATAGCTAGACATTAGTAAAGCTATTAGATTTATAGCTTATTAAGAAAGGAACTATTATTATTATACTAGTATATAAAGTTAATAAACTTCTAGTCTTCTTTTAGTAACTACTAGGTAGTTATAATAGTATTAATCTTTATAATATTTACTTTTATAAGTAGGCATAGGTTATAGACTACTTTAATTA